TCATTTTAATTATTAACAACATGTAAGTGTGAAGCAATTGGGATTTTTTAGAAATCAAAGTTAACACTCATTTTACATGTAAGCATTTCCATGGCAGAAAATTTAAATTGAAAATAAGATTATAAATTCATAATGGATCCAAAAAAGAAATAAACATGTTTCTCAAGTTAATATAGAAATATTATGTAAGGATATACAATACAGGCAGATGTATTACAAACTTATTGATATAGCAGTTCTTTAAAAAGCAATGGATTATCTATGAATAAATTTATTTTAAATTAATAAATTATTCATAATTAAAAATTATGTTTCCATAAATATTAGAAGACTAGATTGAGTAAATGGGATTCCCACAAACAATAACAAAATACTTCAACATTATTCCATCCAAATATTGGTTAAAATTATTCAAATCTGTTTAAAGACTGTAGATGACTGATCTGTAACACTGAAAAATAGTGACTGTAACAGAGAAAATTGATAGCAGATACACAGTGTTCTTTTTGTTCTTCCCATCATGAAAGGATCAAAATCCTTTAGTAAGAAACATGATAGTCATACTGCTTATGTACAATGATTCAATTAGTTAGCATATTTATGGAGAAAGCGTTCAAATGCATCATAGATAGCTCGTCTAAAATTAAATATGAAAGAAAAACTGTAAGTAAATAACAAAAAAGGGGGGCAGACAGTACTTTTAAGTTATTTCCAAAATTTCCTGTGGCTTGCAACCTGACCTCCTCTCAAAATAGCTGTGAAAGAGGCAGGCAACTAAGGGTGGGGGTTTTAGATCTATGTAACTTCACCACTATTGGAAAACCTCAAATGTACTTCCAACTGATGATGGACATTTACATTTTGGTAAACACATAAAGAGATTTTGTTCTGAAGACAGATGAGTCTGCAATAGTTAAATGCAGGTGAGAGGGAAAGAGCCTTGAGATCTATGTTTCCTGGGCGATTGCTTCCCCAGTTGGTCCTGGGTACTTGCTTAGGTAGAATGAATCTGAATTCTTTTACTGCTTGATGCAGTCTGGGCTTTTGTACATGGTAAGAGGAGGAAAGGCATACATGTGCCTTTTTAATCATTTGGATATGATTCACTTGTATTATCAATCAGTTCTAATTAACACAAACCAGAGCAAATAAAGGGGTGGTTTGTTTTACTCTTTGTTTTACCTATCACTAGTGAATGAAGAGATTAAATTTTTAAAAATTATACTATTTCAATGTTATATAAACTGTTAGGTTTTGAAGAGACTGGTGGGGAGCAGGCGAGGCCAAATAACTTAGTAGTGCCTCCATCTGAGCAAGTTACTTAATCTTTTTTGTTCCCTGTATTTCTGTGTAAAGGGGATAATAACACATGAAGCAACTGCTCTAGTACCTGGCACAGGGTAATAGCTAATATTTATCTCTTCCTCAAATGATGTCTTCAAATTAGCACTTTTGAGATTTTATCTCTTTAAAAAATTTTTTAACCTTAGCTTATTTTTTATTTTGTTATTGAAGTATAGTTCATATACAATATTATATTGGTTTCAAATACACAACAGTGATTCAAGTTATCTACATTATAAATGCTCACCCCAAGTAGTGTAGTTACTGTTAACACAGATGTTACAGAATTATTGACTATAGTCACTATGCTGTATTTTCATACCTGTGACTAATTTATATTATGATTGAGATGTTGTGCCTCTTTATTATCTTCACCCACCCACCCACCCCAACCCCTCCCCAGCTGATTTTGATGATATCTATTCTTCCTAATGCCTCTTAGTCACACTCCCATTAGGATACATAGAAGAGTGAAAGAAATTTGATACCTATTTACTAAAGCAAGAATGTGAGTGCTCTGCATTCCCATATATAACAGAACTTTAGATTATTCTCGAACAACCCTAAGTACTAACAATTTTTGTTTGTTTTAATTTTGCTGTGCCAGAGGTAGGTAGTCTGCTCACTCACTCACTAAAAGGTATTCAAATGCTGAATGAATATTTTTTAAAAGATCATATTCTAAAAAGGTTTACTGTAATGCATCAAGACATTACAGTCTTGAAGAATTAGTCTAACCTTAAAAAGGTGACATCTATAAGTTGAACTAAGTAACACTATATAAAGAATTATTTCTTAGATTTAAAACAGCTGAAATATGTCAAACATATAGCCCACACAATTCTATTATATAGCTCTGCAGCTGGCACTTTTGAAACACTAATTGTGCACAGTGCACTAATCTAAGCACTTGATGTTAATTTATTTAATCATAAATGATAAATATATTCCAATAACACTTTGTACTATTAAATTTTAATAGAGCAGAAATAATGCGGGATATCAAAAAAACTAGAGTTACAGCCTAAAAGTCTTTATCAGTTCTAACAAATACTGGAATTGCATAGGTTATCAACATTAAAACCAATATTTCAAAACCAAAATTTCACTTCTCATTTAACTCTCAATATTCATTTGCTATGAAAAAACACTGCTGGATTATTTTACAGATGCTCAGGCCATTCTGAGAGAACAGAGTAGAGTGAAAAACTCAGGACGAACTAAATTTAAAGCAAGTTTTTCAAACTCTGGTGTTTCTCCCCACACCCTGAAATACCTGGCCATATATTTTAAGAAGGTAAACCACACAATAAAGCATGCCTATCTTATGCTACTTCCCTAATTCTCTAGAAGAAAAAGAGCATAAGAGGATGAGATAGGAAAGAGTACCACAATGTAAGAACTAAGGGAGGCAGGGAGGAAATAAGAGGATAAACCATACAATAAAAATACCCAATCTTTTATATCTATCAAGGCCAAAAAAATCCAAAAAACAAACAAGTAAATAGACACCTGTTGAGACCAATCATCTTACCTGAAGAGTCCTTGTTTAAAAAGATAAGCACTAATATGACCTCCTTCTAAATAACGGATTTCACAACCAGGCCAAATTTCTTGTAGACTTCGAACTCCTGTTCGTGGAATATAGGCATCTTCTTTGGCTTGAACTACTATAATGAGGCTTGGGTCAACTGGAACTAGGTAGAGGATTTAAACAAATGCAACATATATACTTTAAAAAGTCCTAAGACTTTTATATAAATATTGAAGTATTAGAAAAGAAAATATGCCTTACAATTTATTAAGTTAAACATTTGACAAACTAAAGTTCTTTTTGGTTATGTAAAAATCAATTATAATATACCACAATATCATAATATTTATCTCCAATACAATGGGATGAATATTCCAAAAAAAATACAAAATCCATTGTTTTTTAATGAACTAATTAATTAATAAGATGGTCTTAGACTTTTATGGATAAAATATGATACATTTAAATCACCAGCTTATCTTGGAAAACACATTGTAGAGTCAACAATAAATATACCTGTGAAAATATGAAATTATCTTGTAAAGCATCCTTAAAATACCTCACAACTACTTACACATCAGGAAATATTCTCAATTTCATATAAAAATTATTACCTGAGAAATTTGCTACATGAGTACATTCATCCATGACTCCTTTCATAAAGATTAAAGATTCTTTCTGAAGATTGTTTCTTCTTTGTTCTCTTCTGAGTAGGTGGTATGATTGAAGATTGCAATTTGTATAACTACTTCTGTTTGTTGATAGTGTTTGATTGAAGCAATCCATCTTAGAGGTATCTTGCAACAAGAGTCCTGATGTGGCACTGGTAGATGTTTTACTAGATTTCTGGCACTCACTAGGTTTTTGGGACATGACTTGGTCTGTCATGTCTAAATTTAAAGTTCTAGAAACCAGATTAAGGTTAGTTAGCTTGTCTGCACTGATAGGGAAGTGTTTCATGAACTCTTGTCCCATTTTGAAAGAATCTGTCTAAATAAGTGAAAGAAAACAACATTTAATAGGGTTTTATTTAACAATTTTGTGAAACAAAACCACAAATGTCCATTAATGGATTATTATTCAGTCTTACTGGGAGTAAAATTCGGACACATGCTACAACATGGATGAACTTTAACACATTATGCTAAATGAATAAGCTAGACACAAAAGGACAAATATTGTATGACTGCAATTTTATGAGCTATGTAGGGCAGTCAAATTCAGATACAGAAAGTAGAATGGTGATTGCCAGGAGCTGGGAGGAGGAGGAGGGAGTGGAAAGTTATTGTAATGGGTACAGAGTTTCAGTTTAGGAATGTGAAAAAGTTCTAGAAATGGATGGTGGTGATGGGAGGTGATGGCTGCAAAATAATGTGAATGGATCACTGAACTATACACTTAAACATGGTTGAAACGGTAAATTTATGTTGTGTGTATTTTACCACAATTTAAAAAAAAAGAGAAAAGATATGTCAAATTTTAACTGAAGACTAAGATAAATGACATACTTCGCTGCTCAATATTTCCTTTTAAACAGTAAAGTGTATCATTTAGTCTGTATGTTTTTATTGCCAAAATTTTGAAATCTATGATCTGCCTTAATCTTAGAACTTCCAAAAGTCGTATGAGTGTATCCTGGCAATAATACAACAGCTATGCCAAAATCCCTTTACCAGGTTGAACTAAGAATAATTAAAAATTATCATGGAAAAACATTGCCTATTTAAATCTGAAAAGTATATACTAAGTTTAAGGACTCGTAAATACAACATAATTTAAGTAAAAATACACAGTCAAAAGAAAAAAACGACAGACTGGGAAAACATATTTGCAACCTACATGGCAAAGAGCTAATTGCTTTAATTTATTAAGAGCTAGATGTGAATACAGAACCCAAAACCACAACAGGAAAAAATGAACAGAAGGTAACAAAAAGGAAATACAATCGCTCCTAAATTTTAAATGCATTCAGTTTTACTTAAATTAAATAAAAACTCTAGCAATTTTCACTATCAGGCTCACAAAAAAAAAAAAAAAGAAAAAAACAAAGCCTGGAAATTTGATAACACAGGAAATATGTGAATTTATGGGGAAACAAACACATATTTCCGCTGATAGTGAAACTGACACAAATAGAATTAGACAAAACCTAACCACATTACAAATGCATTATACCCTTCCACTCTTTCTAGGAATTTACACTTGTGACGTGATTTGAATACAAAGTTACCCACTGCAGCACTGTTTGTGATGAGAAACAACATCCTCAACAGGATACTAGTTAATAAATCCCGGTACAACCATCCATATATAGACTATTGTACAGCAGTAAAAATGAAAAAGGAAACATTTGTGATAGTCCATAAGAGAAGCTGCAAGAATAGAAATAATTCGTGTTTCTATTGATTTGAAAAATTCTTTAAGTTATTAAAAATAATATAATGGGTTATTTGTTGAGATAGAATGTAGGCAAACTGGGAATGGGAAGGAATCATTTCATTATATATCCTTTTTATACTTTTTGATGCTTGAACTATATGACCATACAATTTATTTTAAAAATGGAAGAATGAAAAATTGGTTGAAGGCAAGGGGGAGAAACAAAACAACAACGTGGTTAACAGAACAAATCATTAAAGTCATCCAGATCACAGAAATATAAAAGGGAAAGGAAATTTAGTAAAGAGAGGAATGTAAGATCAAAGTATCCTAGAATTATGTAGAGTGATACACCAAGAAATTTTACTTCTTTTGATTGGGAAAACATGGTTTTTAAAACAAAAAAAGAAAGAAGCCCTCTTGACATTTCTTGGTATATTCATTACTGAATATTCATTAGCTCTAACTGAGACAGAGGAGACTCATATACAACCAACAAGAATCAGAGGCAGAAAAGCACTGCTAGGTAAGAATATGATGACATTTCAAATGACCAAAATTTATGAACCTCCCTTTTAAAAAATGAATGTTAGATTTCCTTATAAGCTCTCAAACACAGGCATCTTTTTTGATTATAGGTATTATGGAACCCAAGGAAGTAACTAGCAAGTAGAGCTATTTTCAAATAAAGTTGTTAGGCAAGTAATTACTCTTTGAGGCTATGCAAGATTGATCTACTTTATAAGAGTGAGGTTTACAGTGATGGAATTATAAAAATAAGTCCTCATTGATAGTAGGATGATTATATTCTGAGATTTCTTAAGACTCAGTAACATTCAAACTGAATATACAAAGTTTTTTAATTCATGCAAAGAAAATAAAGTTCATGAAAGGAATTGGTCACATCAGGAGACTAATGTCAGGGAATCAATTCATTATCTTGACACTGGTAAATTAAGGGAAAGAATCAAGCATTTACCCTGTGTTTCCTATATGAACTGAACCACTAGGTAACCAAATAGTAGATGAGGCAAGTGCCTTTTTTAAAAGTATTCAAAGTAATAAATGAAAAATAAGTGATACAATATCATCACTTTGTAACCTTCAACTAATAGAAATAGGCGTAAAGCATCAATTGAAACTTCCATCACAAAAGAGACAATCAAACATTATATGCATCCTATACTCTTACCAAAGAAATAAAAACTCAGTTTAATCAAGTCTCTAGACCTAGTTGCCAAGTGCAGGCAATACAGTGCATGGAGGGTGGTGCTAAACTGTGCCAAGAGAATGCGATCAGAAAAACCAGACTGTGAGAAACTCTATAGGCAGAGGCCAAGTTCTTCAACAGATAAATTGTTAAGGGGAAGAAAGGGATGGAAGGGAACTTACAGCGTAAAAGACACATCAAATAACAGAAGTGTAGTGTCTAGAGATGTACCTTAGACAATAAAATTATTTTAAAGACAGTAATTAGTAATTACAATAAAAACCAAGATAATGATTAATAGTGGGGGATGCGTTTTGATTAGGACATATGGAACTGGTTTCTGGGTTGGGTAGTCAGTTCTGAGCTGGTTTATTCTTGACCTGTTACAAATGTGTTTGCCATTTAATAAATTAGTAAGCCATACACTTGCTTTGCATGATTTTCTGTTTCTGTATTTAAAATGAATAATCTTAAAAAGCAAAAAATTAGCACTGCTTTTAAAATTACTTGTGATTTAACAAAACTTGAATCATTAAACACAATCAACTTTCCCCCAATGTTATGCAGATATTCAAAATACTTACTCCACAATATTCAAGCATGTGAATAATTTCTTCTTCATAAACTGTCTGTGTATAGTACTGCTTTTCCAGCTCCCTCCAATTAATTGACTTGCTCAGTACACCCTAAAATAACAAATTAAATTAAGATCAAATCATACCATAAAGCATTTTGTCCAATAATTTTATTATTATCACTAAGCAGAAAAGAGTTATCATAGCAGGCTTGAGATTTCTTATCTTTAGAAAGGCCTGCTTATAAGGTCAGCCCTTGATTAGAGTCTGGGAAGTTAACTAGTAAACAGTTCTTCATCCCTACATAAAACTTTCTAAATGATAAACTGGGTCACTGTGTCTATACTGCTTGTACAAACAATGTAGTTTCTGCTGACCACCTTCTTTCCGTCTGGAATTTTGTTACATACTAGGCAGAAGGGGTGACTTAGTGACTGACCTCTGATAAAAACCTAGACTCCTAGGCTCAAACAAGCTTCACTGATTGATAAGACTTTTCACATATTGTCACAACTCATTGCTGGAAGAATTAAACACATTCTGTGAGACTCCATCAGAAGCCCGTGCCTCCTTTCCTCTGGACTTTGCCTTGTGTGCCCTTTCCCTTTGCTGATTTTGTGTTGTATCCTTTTTGCTGCAAAAGGTATTAGTTGTGACTATATGCTGAGTCCTATGATTCCTTCTAGTGAATTACCAAACCTGGGGGTGGTTTCGGGAACCCCTCAAACAATTACCTTAATTATATATAGCTATCTAAATATTAATTGTAATTAATTACCGTAGTGAAGACCCCAGATGCTGTGGACCAAGACAGACAAGGAATCAATGGCATGGGCTTAGGCCAGTTGGATACTGCTAAGGAAGCCATCTGTAATATGTTAACAGTCAGTTACAGAGCTTCTGTTTAAAGTTTCTATTTATTAAAATACAAAATATTTAATAGTAAGAAGTCCTTTGCATACTAGCTGGTGAGGTAAGACATGAATACAAAGTCTCTAAACATTGTGAGAATGTCTAGCAACTTCTTCAAACTCCCCAAATCATAAATTCAACAACTACATATAACCCCTTAGAAAGCAGTAAAGTATATTAGAAAATTTTAAGTAACTTCAAGACCCTTGAGAGAGAGCTACTCTCTCCTGGGTAAATCTAGAGCAAACATTGTGAGACACAGGCTGAGCAGGGGGCTAAGCACACTCATTGCCAAAGCAGCTCAAGTATAGCAAAATCACAACTATAAAACCTCAGACCTTTGAGGCTGACTGAAAGTGACAAAAATTTGGTGCCAAGAATATAAACTGCAAAGCAGATTATATAACTGATTGAAAATAATGTGTGTATTTAGAGAAAAGAAAATTATTTTTAGCTAGAGGAATCAGAGAAGGTTCATGCAATAGTTGAATGTTCTAGGGGAAATGAAAGACAGGGCCTAGTTTTTCCATATAAAGAAGACAGTGTAATCAAAGGCAAGGTGAGAAAGCAATAGGTCTGGAAAAGGAACAGCCAATATACTTATTTGGCTGATCAATATGGTACATTTGGCATAATTATATATTTATATAATAGATATATGTTTCTCTAAAATTTTTATTTTAAATATATATTGTATGTTTTTATAAGTTCTGAGTGACTAAATATATCCAGGTACTGAACCAGAACATACTACTAGTGCTCATTGAAGCTACTGCTTCATGCAGAAACAGACCACTAAACAAGTAATCACAGTATGGTGAAATTAGTAGCAGTAAGAAATGGAGTATAGCCTGTCGAAAGGCTGGAAGTCAGGAAGAGCTTCTCATAGGAAGTAAGCTCTAAACTGGAACCAGAAGACAAGCTGTTATTTGGCTAGATGAGAGAGAGGGAATAAGGGGGCAACAGAGGGACAGACTGTAGCACGTGGCTTACGTAGAACCCAGTGAGCTGTTAGCAGGTTTTAAGCAGGGGAGACCCGAGATCAGATTTAGGAATATCACTCTAGTTATGGTGTGCAGAAAAACTATTAAGAAAAAGAGTAATGAGAGAAAAGACTAGAAACAGAGAAACCAATTAAGAGTGTACCTTTGTGGAACACTCTAGAAGAAAAAGGTGAACTAGTTTAGTGGTACTGGGATAGAAAAAAAGAGGTAAAAGTATTTTCTGAATTAACTGTCTTTACCAATTTAACAGCAAAATAAGGCATTTTTATTTGGGAATCAAAAAGTTAACTTTCATGATCAACTTCTAATAAAATATGAAATCCAATATGTGAACTATACCTACAGAGCAAGTAGTACAATCAATGTTCATATAAATCACACACAAAAATTACATAATTGGAATGAAAGTTTAGAATTAGCATTTTTGCTTACATCAAAACTAAAGTTAATTCTATATCTATAATGAATTTAGAAAAAAATTATAGATTCTCTAAACCTTATAAACATAAGCACAGTTAAATATCAGTTGAAATGAAAAGGCTTACGTGTCCTCCCATGGATATTCCAGTCATTCCTAGAGGCCCATAGCCCTCCCTCTCTAGCCAGTGCAAGAGAGCTGCAGATTCTAAAACAAGAGCTCCTCCCATCACAAACAGGTCAGATACGTTTTTCAAGCTGGACCTTCTAGCCTCACAAAAATAAAAGAGAAAATTATTTGTTTTATATGTATATATACATTTTTTATTATTGTATCATTAATATACAATTACATGAGCAACATTATGGTTACTAGACTCCTCCATTATCAAGTGCCACCACATACTCAATTACAGTCATTGTCATTCAGCAAAGTAAGGTGCTACAGAATCACTACTTGTCTTCTCTGTGTTACACTGCCTTCCCTTTGCCCACCACCCACCTACATTATGTGTGCTAATGGTAATGAACCTTTTTCCCCTTATCCCTCCCTTCCCACCCATCCTCCCCAGTCCCTTTCCCTTTGGAAACTGTTAGTCCATTCTTGGGTTCTGTGAATCTGCTGCTGTTTTGTTCCTTCAGTTTTTGCTTTGTTCTTATACTCCACAGATGAGTGAAATCATCTGATACTTCTCTTTCTCTGCCTGGCATATTTCAATAAGCATAATACGCTCTACCTCCATCTATGTTGTTACAAACGGTAGGATTTGTTTTCTTCCTATGGCTGAATAATATTCCATGTGTATATGCACCACATCTTCTTTACCCATTCATCTACTGATGGACATTTAGGTTGCTTCCATTTCTTGGAAAACTGTAAATAGTGCTGCAATAAACATAGAGGTGCATATGTCAAACTGGGCTCCTGTATTCTTAGGGTACATTCCTAGGAGTGGAATTGCTGGGTCAAATGGTATTTCTATTTGTGGTTTTTAAAGGAACCTCCATATTGCTTTCCACAATGGTTGAACTAATTCACATTCCCACCAGCAGTATAGGAGGGTTCCCCTTTCTCCACATCCTCACCAACATTTGCTATTGTCTGTCTTTTGGGTGGTCACCGTCCTGACAGGTGTGAGGTGATATCTCATTGTGGTTTTAATTTGCATTTCCCTGATGATTAGCGATGTGGAGCATCTTTTCATGTGTCTGTTAACCATCTGAATTTCTTCTTTGGAGAAGTGTCTGTTCAGATCCTCTGCACATTTTTTAATAGGGTTATTTGCTTTTTGGGTGTAGAGGTGTGTAAGCTCTTTGCATATTTTGGATGCCAACCCCTTATGACATGTGTCATTTATGAATATATTCTCCTATACTGTAGGATGCCTTTTTGTTGTACTGATGGTGTATTTTGTTGTACAGAAGCTTTTTAGTTTGATATAGTTCCACTTGTTCATTTTTGCATTTGTTTCCCTTGCCCAGGGACATATGTTCACGAAGAAGTTGCTCATGTTTATATTCAAGACAGTTTTGCTTATTTTCTTCTAAGAGTTCTATGGTTTCATGAGTTATGTTCAGGACTTTGAACCATTTTGAGTTTACTTTTGTGCACAGAATTAGACAGTAATCCAGTTTCATTCTCCTACATGTAGCCATCCAGTTTTGCCAGCAACAGCTGTTGAAGAGGCTGTCATTTCCCCATTGTATATCCATGGCTTCTTTATTATATATTAATTGACTATATATGCTTGGGTTTATATCTGGGCTATTTTGTTCCACTGGTCTGTGGGTCTGTTCTTGTGGCAGTACCAAATTGTCTTGATTACTGTGGCTTTGTAGTAGAGCTTGAAGGTGGGAAGCAAGATCCCACCTGCATTATTCTTCCTTCTCAGGATTGCTTTGGCTAGTAGAGGTTTTTTTGTGGTTCCATATGAATTTTAGAACTATTTGTTCCAGTTGAAAAATGCTGTTGGTATTTTGATAGGGATTGCATTGATGTGTAGATTGCTTTAGGTAGGATGGCCATTTTGACAATATTAATTCTTCCTAGCCAAGAGCATGGGATGAGTTTCCATTTGTTAGTGTCCTCTTTAATTTCTCTTAAGAGTGTCTTGTATTTTTCACAGTATAGGTCTTTCACTTCCTTGGTTAGGTTTATTCCTAGGTATTTTATTCTTTTTGATGCGATTGTGAATGGAATTGTTTTCCTCATTTCTCTTTCTGCTAGTTCAGCATTAGTGTATAGCAATGCAACAGATTTCTGTGTATTAATTTTACATCCTGCAGGCATAGGATTAAAGATGGCAGCATGAGAGGTGAGACTGAGGCTTCCTCCTAAAACTGCATGTAATATAAAAATATAATTAATACAACTAATCCTGAAAAAGCACCAGGAAGGAGGACTATGCCTGACTGCATACACCTGGAGAAAAGAGCAGACCTCATGGAATAGGGTAATGTACCAAAGCTGTGGCCCAGCGGGACCCAAGCCCTTTCCCCACCCCAGCTCATGGCTGGAGGAAGAGAAATTGAGCAGGAAGGGAGTGGAGGCATGGGACTGCTGAATACCTAACTCCAGAGATCTGCTCTGGGAGCACAAACCTACATTTCTTGGTGCTTTCATGATACTCTTGTGATTGGGGGATTGGAAAGCTAGGACAGGCAAAATTCCTAGAGAGACTGAAATTCCAGCCGCTTGTGGAAAACAGGGATCCATACCTGGCTGCTCTGGGACAAAGGAAGGGTGGGCGGTCTGAGAGACTTCCTAACAAGGAAGCCCTTAGCAGGAGGGCAAGGATTGCACAGAGCTTATGGCTCAGGAGAAATGACAGGTAGACAAAATTGTCCAGGTGCACTCTGCCCAGCAGGTTGGGAGCTTTCATGATTTCCAGGAGCTGCACCTCCCTGGCTGGCTACACAGCTCCAGGGACCCTGTCCATGATAGACAGCCTACTTGCACTTTCTCCCAGCCAGCAGCACCTGCCTTGCAAACCGTCAAACCCTACCCTGGCATTAGGCAAGCCAGAGGGAAGACCTGTCTATAGCAACTGCAAAGGGAAGGCATAGAGGCTAATGCCTGTGTCCTCAGCCCCCTGGTTCAGACAGTGGAGACAGGCAGAGCTTCTGGCAAGCAGGAAACAGCTCTTTCCTCCCCCCAGGCACCAATACCACACCCCTGCGACTCCAAACATTGCTTCAGAGGCTGAACAGCTCCAGAGAATGGACCTTTTGGACACTAGAGGGCGCCATATACAAATATGAAATGCCAAAGGAAGCTGGTTCAGAGTAAAATTACTACAACTGGGGAGAAAGATGACATGGACCTCATGACTCTTCCTGAAAGGGAGTTCAAAATAAAAATCATTAACATGCTCATGGAGGTAAGGAAAGATATTTAAGAACTCAGGAATGAATTCTGGTTGGAGAGCCAATTGTAGAAGAGCACAATGGAGGGAATTAAAAGTAGACTGGATACAGTGGAGGAGAGAATGAATGAAATAGAAACCAGAGAAGAGGAATACAAAGAATCTGAGGCATAGAGGCAAAAAAGGATCTGTAAGAATGAAAGAATGCTAAGAGAACTGTGTGACCAAACCAAATGGAACAATATTCACATTACAGGGGTACAAGAAAAAGGAGAGAGAGAAAGGGATAGAAAGTGTCTTTTGAGGAGGTAATTCCTAAAAACTTCCCCAATCTAAGAAAGGAGACAGTCTCTCAGATGGAGATCCACACATCTCCCAAAACAAGGGACTCAAAGAAGACAACACCAAGACATATAGTAATTAAAATGGCAAAGATCAAGGGCAAGGACAAACTGTTAAAAGCAGCCAGAGAGAGAAATAATATCACAAGCAGAGGAAAGCCCATAAAGCTAACATCAGAGTTCTCAGCAGAAACCTTACAGGCCAGACGGGAGTGGCATGATGTGTTTAATGCCATGAAGCAGAATGGCCTGGAACCAAGATTACTTTATCCATCAAGATTATCATATACTTTGAAGGAGGGATTAAACAATTTCCAGATAAGCAAAAGCTGAGAGAATTTACCTCCCATAAACCATCTCTACAGTTTATTTTGGAGGGACTGCTGTAGATAGATGGAAGTGTTCCTAAGGTCTAATAGCTGACATCACACATAATAAAACAACAGTAAAGAAAGTAGAACAGCTAATTACTAAGGAAATGCAAAATTAAATTAACAATTCCCTAAGTCAGTCAAAGATAGACAAAGAGTAAAGAATATGATACTTAATATATAAAGAATGGAGGAGGAAGAAAAAGGAGGAGAAACAGAAAAGAACCTTTAGACTATGTTTGTAACAGCATACTAAGTGAGTTAAGTTGGACTCTTAGATAGTAAGGAAATTAATCTTGAACCTTTGGTAACCACGAATCTAAAGCCTGCAATGGCAATAAGTACACACCTATCAATAATCACCCTAAATGTAAATGGACTGAATGCAACAATCAAAAGACACAGAGTCACTGAATGGATAAAAAAACAAGACCCATCTGTACACTGCCTACAAGAGACTCACTTTAAACCCAAAGACATACACAGACTAAAAGTGAAGGGATGGAAAAAGATATTTCATGCAACTAATAGGGAGAAAAAAGCAGGAGTTGAAGTACCTGTATCAGACAAAATAGACTTCAAAACAAAGAAAGTGACAAGAGACAAAGAAGGATATTACATAATGATAACATGATCAATCCAACAAGAAGATATAACCATTATAAATATATATGGCCCCAACACAGGAGCACCTACATATGTGAAACAAATACTAACTGAATTAAAAGGGGAAATAGAATGCAATGCATTCATTCTAGGAGACTTCAAAACTCCACTCACTCTGAAGGACAGATCAAACAGACAGAAAATAAGTAAGGAGACAGTCATTGAACAACACATTAGAACAGATAGACCTAACAGACATCTATAGAACTTTACACACAACAACAGCAGAATACACATTCTTCTCAAGTGCACATGAAACATTTTCAAGAATAGATCATATACTAGGCCACAAGAAGAGCCTCAGTATATTCAAAAAGATTGAAATTGTACCAACCAGTTTCTCAGACAACAAAGGTATGAAACTAGAAATAAATTATGCAAAGAGAATGAAATATCCCACAAACACATGCAGGCTTCACAACATGCTCCTAAATAACCAATGGATCAATGACCAAATAAAAACAGAGATTGAGCAAAATATGGAGAAAAATGACAACAAGTCAACACGACAAAATCCGTGGAAC